ATACCATACCATACCATACCATACCATACCATACCATACCATACCATTTTATTTATAGAGCACTTAAAACAGTTACAAGGCCAACCAAAGTGCTGTACAGACAGAACAACAGGTAGCACAAAGCAAAATACAAAATGAAGTAAATCAGAATATAGACATAAAAATGATGCAGATAATGACGACTAACCAGTGTGGAGCATACAGGTTCAAAACACAGATCATCTGGTGTTGAAAGCTACTGAATAGTAGTGGGTTTTTAAATGGGACTTGAAAACCGAGAGGGAGGGGGCCTGTCTGACAAGCAGAGGTAACTCGTTCCAGAGTCTTGGTCCTGCTACAGAGAAGGCCCTGTCACCTCTGCGCTTAAGACGAGTTCCTGGAACTGTGAGGAGAAACTGGTCCGCTGACCTCAGGGAACGTGGTGGGACATACGGCTGTAGCACATCAGAGAGATGGGGGGCGAAACTGTTCAGTGATTTGTAGACATACATGAGTATTTTGAACTGGATTGCGAAAGTGAACCAGTAACCAGTGCACTGAGGCCAAAACTGGAGTAATGTGCTCTCTTTTGCCTGTACTGGTTAAAAATCGGGCTGCTGCATTTTGGACCAGTTGTAGTCGTGCAATGGAGGTCTGACTGATACCAAACAGGAGTGAATTGCAGTAATCAAGCCTAGATGTAATGAATGCATGTATTACTGTCTCCAGGTTCTTTTTGGATAATATGGGCTTCAGTTTAGACAGCCGCCTCAGTTGGAAGAAACATGATTTAACAATCATGTTTACATGATTGTTAAGCTTCAGGGAAGGGTCCATTATCACTCCCAGATTAGTGACTCTTTGTTTTTCTGACAGGGTTAGAGCGGAGAGGTCGATGCAGTGGTTTGTGATCGTGTCATTGGGAGGGAACATTGATTTTCATAACTGTTGCAAATAAACATTTCATAGGCTATGGTATGGAGACTTTATAAATGCACTTCCTTAATTGAGACTCGGTACTGGAAACCCTTTTTTGCACTTTGCATTCAGGGCAGGAATGTATGCAACATTTGTACAGAACAAAAAGACAAAACATTTTGGTTTAATGTGACACTGGTTACATCTATGATTGGCTTTATGGAGATCTTGCAGTAAGTTAAATAAACTGTATTTATAAAATGGTTCTTAGCGCTCTTATTAACTACGCAGAGTGTTTTACATCACCAGAGATAATGTTCACTCAGATCTGCACATGTTCATAGTGCACCTTTATGTGCACTGATCACATATATACAAACCCTGCTACAATGTGCTGAGGCAATGGGGACATTTGAGGTTCAATGTCTCATTTTCAAGGTTTTATGGGTGAGATTACATTTTATGGATTAAAGACCAGGGATTAAGTATCAACCAGGCACGGATGGTTCTTCCACTCAAGTTTCTTTTAAAAAATATAACAGCAACTTCATTATATTCATGAAATTTTTATTTATTTAGGAAAATGTACAAAATCGACAACTAAACAGCAAATTATAAGACTTTTATTGAAGACATTCTATAGACAAACCTGCAGCTTTTGTTTGTTCAAAATATTTTTTAATTTAGCATCAATAAACATCAATAAAGTTTGATTTAACAACCAAGACTGTTATTCTTCTGCCCAGCAGTGAGGATACACAACACTGTATAAAACACAACATTACGAGTTTTAGCTATTTTAGTGTATTTTAGTGTGTATTTATAAGTTTAAAACAAAAAAAAATCTGCAGACTGTAGTCAGATGTAAAAAAATAAAATAAAATAAAATGCTCAACATCAAATGTAACTGATAAAATGCTTAAACTGAAGAGCTCATGAGATAAAAAAAAACAAAAAAAAACACACATTTTCTCCAAAAATGAACAAGTATTCTGACCTGAACAAGTAAAAGCATTTTTTCAGTGACGTTTTCTGCATAATAATAATTATAGTGCCGACACTGGTGGTAAAACCCCCCACAAAAAAAATCCCCCAAAAACCTCTGATGTGCAAAATAAAGTCTAAATCTATAAGAAAATAACACAGATACCCATCAGAAAATTGTTAAAGGTAATGATTAAAAAAAATCTTGATAAAAGTCTGGGTCTCCCTGTTGAAAGCAAAAAGCTAAATTTTGCTCATCAGTGACATAAATGCTCCTCGGCTCTGTTAACTTGGACTGACGTTGCTTTAAGTTGCTTCTCCGAGTGGCAACTCTTTTTATTTTTGTCGTGGCTGTTGTCTCTTGGGTCCACTTGGTGTCTCGTCACACACAGCCTGTCTCAAACAGTTTGGCCAGCTCTTTACAGTCTGGGTCAATGAGGTCTGCAGGCTTCTCTCCACTTTCATTCTCTGCTTCTGTGCTTGCCCCCTTTGCCAAAAGATACCTGAGAGAGGAAAAAGGAAACTTTTAGAGATTCAATGTGCAAAGATCTGTTTTATTAGCACATCTAACCTAACTATTTACTAGAGATGGACCTTTATTAACAGACACTCTTCATATTTATCTGATAATTATGTGATTGTTCTTTTGTACATATTCCGGCAGTAAAAATGAGCTCACCCATGATCAGCGTCCTTTCAAAATAAACTATGAAGGCAGACAAATGCTGGGATGCTCTGAGTTGTTGCTCTTTTATTTATTTTCTTTCAGGAGAGAGAGTTATGTTAGAGAGGTAAGTGTTATGATGTAAAAGCCCACCAGTTGGGAAAAGCAGCATAAGGAAACAAAATAGCATTGTTTCACACAGTTGCTAGTGTAAAAAAGGGTTATACCAATTCCAGTGGTGTAGTCTACATTTTTGTAGTGATTATACTGTGCTTAGAAACCAAAGTACACCAGTTAGTACAATGTAATCGTCAATACATTTTAGATTTTTAAGCATATTGAACATTTCCAAATTTCTCTGATGCTTATATTTGAATAAATGTACAACAAACTTTGTACAACAGTTGGCTTTATATTAAAAACATGTTATGGAATTTATAAAACAGTGTCAAAGCAAAACATGTTCAAGTATTAAATACAGAATTATACAAAAATTGCTGGGATAAGCGAATGTAGCAAACAAGCGCTGCATACAGAGATAGATCGTTAGAAGCACTTAACTGACGTTTAACGTGTCAATGACATGTGCCTATTGATATGTCATGTATCAATGGGCACTTTTAAGTGGGTATACTGAAATTCTTTCTAGTGGGTATACTCTGTATACCTGCATATCGCGTCGACTACACCACTGAAATTTGCCCATTTTAACCAGACATAACATAAAAAAAATTACTGCTCATCCCTGTTAATTTACAGTTTAATCCATTACATGTCTTTGTCATCGACATCAATAAAGATGGACGAAGCGGCTCCATTGTGTTCATTATTTGTTTAGAATCAAAGCTAAATGTTTACGGGCGCTGGCGCGTTGCCATGTTGTAATTTTGGTTCCAGACTCTGCGCCTTTAGATCTGTACTCTCAACACATGGGTTCCACCTACACACCCTTCAGGCTCTCAAACAGACCATCAAATTGTCACGTACAGAGTGACATGGCACACTTTTAAAGATTAAAATACCAAAATAAAAACAAAAACAATCGTAAAAATGCATATTTGAACATAGAACGATGATGTAAAAGCTGCACAAATAATATAAACTTTCCTATATCTTTTATACGAAGAGGTGGAACTTAACAATTGTACTGCAGTCAGCCTATAGGGGATGCTCATCCTTTGTGGCTTCAACTTCCACATTCTTGTCCTGTCTCTAGTAACAATAAGCGTTACTGTGCTTTGTAGTTCAATTATATGTTCTGAAGTCAAGATCATTCAATTTAAATCTAATTTCAAATTATTTAAAGCGTTCTGCCTTTGACTGTCCGTTTTGTGTGTAACATTACTTGGCAATTTCAGGATAGCCGTCACTGCAGGCCATGTGCAATGGCGTCCAGCCGTCTTCGTCTCTCTGATGGACATCGGCGCCATATTTCACCAGCAGCTTCACCACCTCCAGGTTCCCAGTTAGTACGGCTTCATGTAGAGCAGCCATGCCTGCACAGATTGCCAACATCAGTCCTCTCTCTGCTGTTTGCAACAGACAGAGGACACGCATAGGTAAAAGTGTCCATAGTGGGGCATCAATAGCTCACCTGAGTTGAAGAGCGTATCCACACGAACCTTCCTCGCTCTCATGAAGCGGCCGATTTGCTCCAGATCCCCTCGTCTGACGTTATCCTGGAAGATGATGTCGTTGGGGAAGTGGACGGTTCTTTTGGGGAGTTCCACGGGGATGACAGGTGCAGGGTTTTCTTGTGCTTGTGTGCGTCGCGTTGAGCTGTACCGTGAGTCTCTGCTGTATGAGGGGATGTATGTCGGTGCCGCCTTGTAGGAGGACGTGTAATAGGATGGGGTGTAATTTGTGGTGCTGAGCTGTGTGGGGGTGTACTTCGATACTGAGGCATAGGTGGATGCTGGCGTGTAATGTGAGGGGCTGCAATAGGATGAAGTGTGGTACATCGACGTGTGCTGTGGACTTCGTGTGTACGTTGACACCGGTACATGGTAGCTGTACTTCATCCTGCAGCTTTGATGCCCCTCGCTGCTTTTAGATCAAAAGGAGGGAAACGCGAATCCAAGGGAGAAATAAATCCAAGGAAATACCAGTGTCCTTTGCAGTGTCCCTTTTTGTCTATGTCCTTTGATTTTCAGCTGCTCTTTCAGTCCTTCGCTTTGCTTCACTCAATCCAAATCCTTGTTTTCATTCTTAACTTTTCACCTTTTCTCCCTGTCTGTTCATTTCTTGTATCTGGTTCAAGGTTACTCATCACGCAGCATGTCTGCTCTTGCACAGAACCAGAGTCTAATGGGGAAAGTCAGACAGCATCCCTATATACCCTCCGTAGGGCTATTTTGGGGGCCAATGCCCAATGACTTCAGCTTAGAAATGAGCGGCCCCCATCAGGCTCCTCCCACCATGATCACATGTCCATGGACACCAAACCCACCTCGAGACCATAAAAATGTTGACAACCACACCGTTCTCTTTGAGTCCTCACTGAATGTTCCCACACAGACGTCTGAACACCGATGACTGACACCGGTGGTAAACAGTGTTTGTTGCTCGAATGCAAAGGTTGTTTTAGGTTATGTTTCCACTTTAGACTATTACAAGGTGTCACTTTTTATTCATCAATTTGTTTGGGTATTATAAACAAACTAATAACCTGAAGCAAACAACACAACAATTCCAGTGTCACATGTTAGTGTGTTGACGCCATGTTCTAAAGCACACTGTAAGCTGATGAGTCTGGAAAACTTGCTGAACACACATTCATTACCTTTAAGCTGAAAAACCTCACGAGTGCTTCTCACATGCTTCTCTCACTCCCCCTCATGTTGTCTAATAAACTTTAAGTTTTCCTTTTAGCATTTCATGCTTTGCAAAACAAGCAGATGGTAAAATGTATGCTCCACTGAGGTTTTATGGGGTACAGCAGTCCTGGACAACCAAGTAACTGAATATGTAACCTCTCCCCTAAAAGACTTATGAAAAATCACATGACGGCTATAAACACAGCTATTTGCAATCGTGACCCTTTGACACGCACTGCAGCATGCATTGCCAATGAATTAAAAAAAAAAACTTTATTGTATAGCACAATTTACACTGCTGCATGTTTAACATGTTACAAATCCCAATGAACTCCTGAACTGCACGTCCTGTGAATTTCTTGATTGTCTTCCGAAATATGGTGCAACTGACTTGAATAAAAGTGGCACAGGATCTAAAAGTTTTAGTATCAGTATATAATGTTATATACCAATATATTGCAATATTATCAATATTGAGTTCCTTCAGAAAGACTTTACTGACACATTACTTGTAAACAGATCTCTGATGGGCTTTTTACAGACACAAGTAAAAAGGTTTGTTTCTCAGCAGCAATAAAGTGCATTCTCTCCAGGAATCTGTTGTTATTGCTTTAAATGCCTACGATTCTGTGAGCATGACTCATGAATCAAAAGCATCTGCTCAGCTCTCTTCCCCTTCGTATCTAAATTTGTGCTGGCATAGGTAAGCAGTTTTGCTTCCAAGTCTGTGAATGGAGAAATCCAAGACGCAAAAAAAAGAAAAAAGAAAACAGCAATAGATTTCACAATCTCATTTCTTGTTAAGTCGATTATGACTTCTGCTTTCAGCCCCTAAATATCCGTGAAGTTCTCTGATGTTTGGAGCTCTAAACGTTAATTATTCATAATCTCTATAAACTCTGTGAACTGCAGGAAAAACGGCGGATGCCTAGACGAGCCCAAGTGATTTGACGTTTGCCCGCTCATGAAGGGAATGAGGTTGGGAAGCAGCTGTTTTACAGTTTCAAGTTTAGTGTTGCAGCAGAGCAACACCACAGACACTCCCTGTAGCTTCTCCTACGACACGCTGCAGAGATGTCCTCACCGTGAAGAAACAGGAACCTCCGCCTGAGGAGAACGTTTGTTTGTTGGACCTCGGTGTGGAGGTTTCGCACACTACAGTCTTTGCCTAAACATAGTGTCAGGCTGTGCCCTCCTGCTCGATCGTGTTGCCTTTTAGAGCCTATGCTGCAGTTTGTCAAATGACAAAGATAATTTAAATCATTCACGAGAAGGAAGTGCTACTAAAGCAAAAACATGAATGAGCCTCTGTTGTCAGAGACTTTCCCTTTGACTTGCACAAAGATTTGACAATTGGTTTATGGATGTCTGCTTTGTGAAGCAACTACAGACCACTGAGCTACCGCAGCCCACGTGTGTAAAGCAGATGGCTGTTGTGCTCGTGAGAGCAGGGTGCCTTGCTCAAGGGCCTAAAGCGGGAAAAATGAGGATGGTGGCAGATATGGGTGCTTCATCATTCCCACTCCAATTTTATTGTAACAGTCAAGGGAGTCAGTCTGGCAACTTTTCAATCACAGGCTCACCATCTCTAACCTCTGCACCACAACTCCCCATATTGTATCATATCGTATCATGTCATAGATATATTGTATTGCATAGTATCGTATCGTATCGTATCGAGAGTTTTACAAATGACTTAACGTTTTGTCTTCTAAACCAGTTAAAATCACAATTGCTGTTCAATGCATGTTCTATGAGGCATTTTTTTATAAACAAAACTACTGCATGATTACCAGATTTTTACATGCAACAGTAATTTTTTATTATTTAGTACACGATCAGTGAGTATGAACATTTTATTATTGTTTTAAACATGTTAAGTGTAGTTCAATCGATTATTCGTGATCCTAAAATTGTTTTGAAAATGAACGTGTATGAAACATTTTCTATATGTATATATGTATATATTTTTTAAATAAAAGCTCTTGTCACATCAATAACCACTAGATGAAAATGGTTACATTTTTCTTTTCACCTTTGAGTCAAAATGTACAGTTTGTCACTCAACAAAGTCCATGCTCAATAATCCAGGTATACAATCCAACAATTTTCAGTCAGGTCATCTGGACAGTTTCTTT